TCACATAATTTTCCTTCTTTGAAATATAATCAATATGATAGTTTTAAGAAATGCAGAATTGAATGACTAAAAATAAGCCCTTTCCATCCTGAATGAAAGCAATGATGGACATGGGTGTGAAAATAGAGAAGTGGGTTCCAACAGAGAGTACTGGGTGCTAAAGACCAGACATCTTAACTTACATCTCACTCCATTATTCTGCAGTAGGATTTCCTATTTTGGAAGCGGTTAGGAATCACTAGAACTGGCGATTTTATCACACATTGATGATAGCTGGCATGCATGCATTTCATTATTCATATTGCACAAGGAGAATTTAATTGGCATGATTTTGGTATTCCATTTCCTGTTTAAGAACTCCCATCTACTATTATTTTTCTCTTTTACCTACAAATGATAGGATGGAATAAAGTAGGATGTGACAGGCCCCTAAACCATCTCTGCAACCTAGAGAGGTCTCCTGAGCTCTAAATATATACTTCCCATTGCCTGTTTTTACATTCCCTTAGATATCTTCCAGGAATTACAAATTCAAAATATGTAAAACCGAGTCCATTGCTTTAGTAATATTCTCTTTTCTATTTTCTACGTCATTTAAGGTAGTCATTCTTCACCTGGTTGCCTAAGGTCCCAGAGTTCATTTACACCTCTCCTCCTTTACCCTTCACAATGAGTCACTATGTCCAAGTGACGGAAACTCACCCTCCGTCTTCCTTGCCACTTTCTTGCTTCTGGCTTCCAGGTCTCCTCGCTTCTTCACCTGGACAAGGCACCAATGTGTTGATTTGTCCAGCAGCCTCTAGTGGTAGAGTCTGGTCGCCTCCCCACCAACACCTAGGCAATCTTTCTAAAGCACAGTCTGCTCCTCTCACCCCACTCCCTCGGCCTGTCCATCAACAGCTCAGCGGGCTGTTTCTACCCTTTATCCATATGTCTGTCTTTACTCACTATATGTATAGGGTTGCTCAAAGGTGCCACCATTGGCTCTCTAGGATATGTGTCCTCAGGCTAGTTCCTCTGATGGGAACCCCATGGGGCCACATCACATCCCAATTCCTTCCTCCTCTGTGAAGCCATTACTGATCACCCCATCTCTCTTTCCTATTATTACTTATGCTTTACTTCCAGGATTTATTACATCGGACTGTGATAACATTTTTACTTCTTGGGTCTCCCTCTATAACAGTAAGCTGTGAGCACCCCAAGGACAGTGCCTTTCCTAAGCCCATTTCTCAACCATTTTACCTAACAGCATGTCACCCATGGATTTAGTATCTGTGGATTCCACAAATACTTATAAATGACACTGAGTGAATAAAAGCAGAGATATTTAAGTTGAATTTTTACAATTCCTATTAATTGGAGACCATCAGTGTTGCCCAGATTTCCCACACATTGCATGTCCTTTTTATGACCCAGCCTCAAAAATTACATAGCACAGCTTCCACTGTATTTGACCCCTCGAGGCACTCACAAGCCCAACCAGACTCATGGGGAGGGCACATGGAGCCTAATTCTTGATGGATGTGTCCAAACATTCAATGCTGTTTTAAATCCAATCACCATCAGAGGATGCTACAGAACCAACTCATTATTTTGAAAATATAGAAAGAAAAAAAAAACATCTCTTATCCTGCCTTTCCTATGTAAGCATATATCTAAGTGATCAAATAGCAGGTGAAGAGAGACCTCTCTTTAAAGAAACATTCCAATTAATAAATGAATTAGAATGTCACTCTTTTAAAATCCCTAATGATTGTTGTATCCAGACAATGACTATCAATATCTGCTAACATTAAAAAAGAGAGGAAAGACACAACTACTTATTATACATCCCCTTTGGAAGAAGAAAACACTCCCACAAAGAGATTTGCTGGAAAATATCAATAATGTCCCTAGAACTTCCTACAGGCCAAGCACCCATTATCCAAAATGCTTGGGACCTGACATGTTTCAGATTTCATATGTTTTTGGATTGGGGAATATTTGCATAGTCTTTACCAGTGGAGCATCTTTAATCTGAAAATCCAAAGTGCTCTGAAATCTAAAAGCATTCAGTAAGTTTCAGATTTTGAATTTTTGGATTAGGAAAGCTTAACATATACCAGTGTACAGGAAAATGTACCCAGAGCCAACTATCAATTTACTGAAACTGGAGAAGAAAGAACAGCATGTTAACTGAGACTTCAGGGATGATATTAATGAAATTCAGACTTGGAAATTTTACCAAACAAAATGACCAGGTTTTACCAAACAAATGACAAATTTTACAAATTTTACCAAACAAATGACCAGGTTTTGTCAACCAACAAAAAAGGGAAAAGATAAGAGTTGGAAAATAATCTATACAGGTTTGAAAATCTTATCAATCAAACAGAATGTGTAAACTATTTTTGGATCCTGATTTAGAGAGATAGAGTGTAAGAAAACAAATGGCATTTCAGAGACAACTAGAAATTTGAGCACTAAGTAGATATACAGTGATATTCAACAATTTATTTTAGATAAAATAACATTATTGAGGGCTTTTTTAAATAAAGGAAATTCTTTCTGGTAAAATAACATAACATCTGGAATTGGTTTCAAAATAGAATAAGGGTAAACAGTCAGAGATAGGGCCAAGTATCATTGTCTATGAGTTGATTAGTATAAAAGCCAAGTAGTGGTACTTGGGGGTCCTTTAAATAACTTTTTCTATTTTTATATTAAAATCTTCCCATTAAAAATATATTTTAAAAAAGTTTATTAACTCCCAGTTACACTTAATAAAGTAAAAACTCCTTGGTAAATTCTTTATGCACCCTAGGATCTGGCCCTTGTACTTCTCCAGCACCATCTGACCCACTCTCACTTTCTCCCTACCTTTATACTACATAAAGCTACTTACTTCTAGTTCCCACACAGGATATAATTTCTTATACTTGCAAGTGTTTGTAAATTTCCCTTTTTCCAGAATGCCAAGTTCCATTCTCCTCCTGGTAAAATTCATTCCACTGATCACATTTCCACATTGCCAGCTACAGGTATCTGGCTCTCTGCTGAGTCCCCACAAAGCAGAATTGCAGTGATGGATGCCCATCATTGGCTTCTCCCAGCTGCCTCTGCAGCCCTCCCTACCCTTCTTTCTGTCTTATGAAGCCGATCTGTTTGGACTGTATTGGTGGCCTCTGTATCCTCTGGCTCCTGGTCAGGCTTCTCCAGAGGAAGCCACCTGCAGAAGGTCCAGAGGACAAGGAAACCATATGTGTGCTCTCCTCTGCCTGGAAGGCACAAGTTGGCAGCTTCCTCTGCCAATATCACATCTATCAAGGGGCCCCTTCCAAGTACTTCTCTTTCTATTATGGATGACCATTTCTTTGTCCCTCGTCCTTCTGCTGAGGAATTGTCGCTTCCTATAAACTTAGTGCACTATGAATAAAGAGTCCCTCTGTTCAACTCTCCTCTAATAACTCAGTTTCTATCTGCCCATCTCCCCTGCTCAGACACTCATTATACATTTGTAAACAAACAACCCCCAAACAGACCACATGAAGAAATACAGATATAGACTGAGAAGCCGTAGAAGGTGAAGAGTCAAAAAACACTTTAAAGGGAGAGGAAGAACAAGGGGATGTTGGAACCTCTGCTTGACTGGTAAGCTACTTGGGCTAGAAAGCAAAGATGGACGTGGGGAAAGCTGGAGAATCAGAGAAAGCTTGCCGTCAAAGGCCAAGAAAGGATTTAAATTTTGACCCTAAGGGCAAAAGGAAAGTATTTGGTAGTCCTTATGCTCTCCTAGGGTTACACAAGGGACATCATCCCTCAGACAATTCTTGACAGCCTTCTACCTCACGGCCAGGACCAGGAAGCTCTGGCACATGGTAACCATTCAATAAATGTCCACTGGATCAGTGAATGAATGAATGAGTGAACACATATGGACAGTTTGGGTTTTTTTCTCCCTATATACCAGCATAGTTTGGTCACCTCCAATAATACTTCCTTGCATACCTCCTGTCTGAACTTAATCCAGTTTTTTCTTTGATGTATCTTCCTTGTAATTACCATGCAAAGCACTGGTGAGAAACAGCAGCATATGAGCTATAACCCTAAAAAGTAGGTCCATCTCACTCTTTCATACCATAACAACCTATTTCATTCTAGAGATGGCAAGTTGAACAAGGAACATAACTCAAGTGGTGGAGATTCTTGCCATGACCATTGTAGGTTATTCTGTTAGGAAGTCATTTGAAATTCACAAGAGGATTGAAAAGAGATCCATTTGCTTGATTTTGAATGAGAAGTACAACCTCCTTGCTCTTGTGCACAAGGTTTAATTAACCAAGTACTAACCAAAGATTTCAAGTAGAGGCTTTAATCTTGATTTGTTTTTTTCTAACTGATAACATAGATTGATTTACACAAGATAAAATAATTGTATAATTTTAATTGGTTCCCTCATTTAAGAACAAACAGGAATGCATAGATAAAACCTATTTGAAAACATACTTTTATTACAAATTTACCATTTAATACAAGCAAACAGTATTGAAAAAATCAAGTGATCTCAATATTGTAGCAAGTGAATATTTACTAAAGTCACGATAATGATGTCTTTCTATATGTAAATATTTTGAGATAATGGATATGCCCATCTCATGCATAAGTAAGTAAGCAAGATGAAGTTGAACACAAATAACCAATTGAATTTTTGCCTAAATATTCTAGTACTCAGTTATCCAAAAAGTACTAAATGCTATGGTTTTTACATCAGTGCTGAGATATTTCTGTGGGATATTGCTTTTTAATTAGCATGAAAATTTTTTATTCTGGTAGAAAATTAAGAAAAGTATGAAATGATACTAATTTATTTATTTTTTTTTGAAATTCAATCACATGTTCATGAGTTTTCACTTTTTTCATGTTTTTCCTAAGGAACTTTATATTGTATAAGGACTGTAAATTGATAAACTCTATGATTTAAATGCATTTTGTTTCAACAAAATAGTTGTACTGCTCACCAAAGAGGCCATGGTGAATCCAATGACTTCAATATAGCCATCATCATGACGCTGAGGCTCAAAGTCATGGTGGTCTCCCGGGTTTCCCCAGGGCATTGTGCCAGCACAATATCTGCAGGATAAGGGGAAAAATAGAAATAAATAGACTCTATTCTGCTCATGATTCTGTCATTTGAGATCAACTGGCAGTTAAAGTAATGAATACATATATCAAGACCTCACATAAACTCCATAAATATGTGCAATTGTACTTATGCATCATTTTAACTCAAATCTAAGTTACTTATTTACAGTTAGAACCAATGCTCATTAAGTATAAGAACAGTTTTCTGCTCTTGGTATACACCTTTCAAATGAAAAGAAAATGAATTTATCATCTCCAAGGTACGATCCTGCGAAAATGGCCATAATTTTGCAACAAAAGCATCCTGTGGTATCCAAATTTCCCCTAACTCATTATTTATCAACATTTCTCACTTTAGGATTATGTCTGTTTCTATGCTCTCCTATGAATTCTCTTTAGGTGGTTTCGGAATTGGTGTTAAGGGAAGACACACACATACTAGTTTGAGAGACAGGGAATGGAGAAGGGTAGCATTCACCACAATATGCGTGATTTTAAGATAAGAAAGGCCTATGAGAGAAGAAAAGACAACTGAAGAAAGTAGAGGAAAGGGAATGGGGAAAGACAAAATCAGAATGGAAGGGGGAAATGAAAACAATTAGAAAAGTAAAGGAAAGAGAATATAAAAGGTCCAAGAAAGAGGAGTATAGGGATAAAAAAGGAGAAGAGAAGAAGAAAAAATACAGAATGCTACTAGCCAATGTTTCCTGAGAATCTAGGCCATCTACAGAACTAAGCTAAAGATATCTCTGGAATGAGACTGCAACTGACTATACAGAGCACTGCCAAGAATAATCAGGAGACTACGATGTGTTTTCACAGACATAAATTTACATAGAACTCTCATTTTAATTAAATTCAGTCTCAGTAAACTTTATCTGCAGATTTTGTGTCTGAGTTGGTTAGTGGGTGGGTAACAAAGGGTTAGAGATCCATGCCTTCCAAAATCTTGGCTTGGAAGCCAAGAATCATATTTGATGTTGCTGAGGTAATGTGCTGATTTTGAGACTAGTTACTCTTAAATATTCCTTTCTTCTGAGGTATATAATAGTACCAAAGATAATTGACATCCTGGCTAGAAAATGCTTCTCTAATTGATTCTATTTTTTCAAAGCAATCGCCTGGCAATGAAATCCACACATGAATCAGGCTGGATGGTTTCCTAATAGCTTTTGGGAAACTGAGAACAAAAATTTATTCACTTCTATCACTCCTGGAGGAGGCAGAGTAGGGATAGGAGGGTAGTAATTGAGAACTAAGCAAAATGTTCCAATCAAAAGGGGTTTGGGGTCTGTTAGGGCTGGATGAGTCTAGACTAAGAATGCCATGTGACACACAAAACCACCTACCACAAAGAACACTAGATAAACCAGGTAAGAGAATAAAATTATCATCTGAAAACCTTTCATGAGCCATTAAGATAACTGATTTTCTTCTACAAATGGCTATCCAGTTTTCCCAGCATCACTCATTTAAAAATCTATCTTTTCTTCACCTTATGCTTTTGGCACTTTTCTCAAAGATGAGATAACTCTTGTCAAATGTAGGTTTGTCTCTGTGTCTTCTCAACTATCTATTCCCTGGGTCTCATGCCTGTTTTTGGCCAGTACCATTCTGGTTTTGTTACTATAGCTTTGTAGTATAATCTGAGTTTGGGTACTATGATCCTTTAGCCTTGTTATTATTGCTCAGGATTGCTTTGTCTATTCTGGGCCCTTTATTCTTCCATATGAACCTTAGAACTATTTTTTTTCTAGTCTGTAAAGAATGTCATTGGAATTTTGACGCAGATTATACGGGTTACTTTTGGTAATATGGCCATTTTTGACAATATTAATTCTGCTTATCCAAGAACGTGGAAGGCCTTTTCATCTTCTAATGTCTTCTTCAACTTATTTCTTCAGTATTCTATAACTTTCATTGTTCAGATCTTTCACCTCCTTGGTTAGATTTATTCCTGGGTCTGTTTTTAGGCTATGGTGAATGGAATTGTTTTCTGATTCCTTTTCTTTGCGGTTAATTATTGGTACATAGAAAAGCCATGGAATTTGAATGCTACTCTTGTATCCTTCTATTTTACCAAATTTATCAGCCCTAGATGTTTTCCTGTGGAGTGTTGGAGTCTTCCAAGAAGGGAAATAGACCCCTATCTATCAACCTGAACAAAAAGACAACACAAAGTGAATGAAAAACTAAGGAATTAGACAGAAATTGTGCAGCTGATGGAAGAAAAGATAAGGTCAGCACACCAACATATAAGCACAGACACCAGCTCCCTTAATACGACTGCTGAAGCTGAAGAAATAAAACCAAGAATCAACAAGGGGAATGGCATTAAATTAAAAAGCTATGTATAGCAAAGGAAATAAGAGTGTGAAAAACACATACAGAATGGAAAGACATCATTGCTAGTTGCTCTTCGGACAAAGGTTTAATATACAGAGTATATTAAAAAATTTAAAAAACACCAAAAAAAAACAACAACAAATAACCCAATCAGTAAATAGGCAAATGCACTAAAGTAACATTTTCAAAAGAAAAAATGCAAGTGGACAATAAATATTTTAAGAAAAAAACATGTTCAACATCATTAGCAATCAGAGAAATGCAAATCTAAACTACAATGAGATTTCATCTCATTCCAGTTAGAATGTCAAGAATATTATTTATATTCTTGATGGATGTTATTTATATATAAAGGGACACTTATATATTGTTGGTGGGATTGCAAAAACCACTATGGAAATCAGTATTGAAACTCCTCAAAAGACTAAGAATGGAACCACCATATGATCCGGTTATTCTGCTCCTCAGAATTCATCCAGAAGAACAAATTAGCACATTATAGTCATACATGCATTCCAATGTTTATAGCAGCAAAATTCACAATAGCCAAGTTCTGGAACTAGCCTAGGTGTCAGTCAATAGATGAATGAATAAAGAAAATTTGGTATATACACACACAATGGAGCCATAAAAAAGAATGAAATTATGTCGTTTACTAATAAATGAATGGAACTGAAGAACATCAGCTAAGTGAAATACGTCAGAGTCAGAAAGTGGAGAGTAAACTGTTTTCTCTCATATGCAGAAGCTAGAGAAAAAAAGGAATAAATGAAAGCAAATCTCACAAAATAGAAGAAAGATCAGCAGAGTAGGGGATTGGGAGGGAAGGCGGACAGGAGGGAACAGGGAAGAACTAGAGAATAAAATCAACCAAATTATGCTATATACTTGTATGAATATACTACATGAATTCCATGTTTATGCATAATTATAATGTATATATATATATATATATATATATATATATATATATATATATATATACATGTACATGTAAATAAACATGAGGAAGAGGAAAGGAAAGGAGACAGGGAGGGTGGGGGAAGGAAGAGAGAGAAAAGGGTCAGTATGAAGAATTAATTGAAACAAATTATGCTGTGTATATATAGGAATAAGTCACAGTGAACCACACTGTTATGTATGATTGTAATACACTAATAAAAACATAAAAATAACTGATTTTTATTGGTAATACCTGAAATGTCTCTGTTATGAAAACAGGTATACATCAAGTCAAAGTTTACGTCAAACCAAGGATATAATATAAACAGAGCTTACCTGGGTATATTTAAAAATACTATACACTGGAACTTCAGTTCCTGAATCTTTGGGGTGAGATCTGTTCCATCACACTGCAACAATGAAAACAGAAAAAGCAAGGGTTTGAAGCAGTCACAAGTCTAAGAAAATTATCAAGATAACTGGGTTGACAACAATAGGCACCATGATCTTATTCCCCTTGTCTCTAATTCTGGATGGCCAGTTACTATGATTGAAAATTTATGCTTTTTATTGCTTAACTAGACCCAGAGTTCAGAGCTGGGTTTCGTTTTGATTTAATATAAAACAAACCTGACATTTGACAAAAAAATAAACTGTGTCTTTTTTCACAATCACAGTAAATATCGTCCTTCTTAACCTTGGGTTATTTATTATTAGATACTTATATGCAGAGAATCAACAATGAAAGTCTTACCAGAATGAAAGGAATGGAGCTATAAATGAAGGCAGTAGCATTAACTACCACAACCATCTGATTCAAACAAGTTATTTGATTTCTTTGAGATAATTTTTATGTTTAAAATGTTAAATGTAACATTTTGAACACTTTTTAAAAGATATGCATATTCAAGTTTTTAAAAAGATATCTATTATAAGTTAGGATAAGCTCCAACAGGCCATCTGATCTTTGCCACAGGGAAGTCAGTATTTTGAATGAAATAATTAATAACTCTCATGAATGCATGAATGTGAAATGAGTATGGGAATACTAGACCAAGAAAACACAAAACAGTAACAAGTGATTACTTTTTTGCAAATTTAATCTGTAACAGAAATGGACTGGACTTTTGAGAAGAAACTGCTTTTCTGTTGATTGACATGACTCTGGTCTCGAAGGCCCAGGCCAGCCTTGCTCAGTGCCTCTGTGTGCTTCCCTGATCTGTCAGTGCTTTCCCCAAAGAGGAACATCCTCTGACTAATCAAAGGAGACCCTTCCATTTGCCTTTCTCATTTCCCACTCGTGACAAAGATCAAAAGACAAAAACTCCAGTCAGGGCTATAGACCCCTCAGTGGTCCGAGTCACAATGTCTGCTTTTCTATTTGCTTTATTCATAGCTTCATCCCAGAATTTCCTCGCATTTTTCCTTTTGGGAAGAGGAGTAAAGCAATCCCAAAGTCCCTGATAATTTTTGAGGAGTTCTTTAGGCAAAGTTTTAAACGAAGTAGTAATGATTTTGATAACAGTCAAGGTTATTGTCTAAACACCCGGAACTTTTCCTGGCTGTTCTTATACAGCCTAATTTTCATGAGCATGCTCGAAAATAGCTTCCAAGAAAGCTTATAGACTTAAATAAATGAAATGTTTTCAAATGTAATTTAGATAGGAATCAAATTCTAGATGGTGATCAAAGGTGGTTTTAGAGAACTCTCAACTACTAAGCAAACATAAAGCCTCCCGCTTTAAGGACTTGAAAAGAGTGTGTAGATGACTATACTAAAACACTGACTGCTCTCTGTGCCAAAGAGAAGGTGGTCTATGGTGTACAAATCTGATCATTCTAGCTCACCTTCCATCCTTTCCATCTCACAGTCAAAACATGCAGCAATATCACTGCAGAGGTATCCTATGTCAGACAACAATGGTCAAATATGGTTTTTTTAAGAGACATATCTTATTATGCCTGTTTCACAGGCAGGAAAAGCAAGGTGTTTCAAAGGTTCAATGACATAATCAAAGTCATATACCTAGGAAAGGCAAACCTAAGACTGAATCCCAAATCCTTACACTTTGTTTCTATTATTTTTTTCCTCCTCCTAAAAGTACATAAGATTACAAAGCTATTCCACCTGGAATATTACATGTATTGGTTGATTCTACATTTTTCCTAGTGATTTGCTGCTATTTTGGCCTCTCTGCAAGCTCATTTTAATCCTTGCTATGTAGCTGCCCATGTATGAAGCAATCATTAAGAGGACTGCCAGAGAGAGAGAGAGAGAGAGAGAGAGAGAGAGAGAGAGAGACTCTGGTGATTAGGAAAATATGCAAGATTGGTTTCAGTCCTCTCTCCTGAGCAGTTTACTGACATTCAATGTGTCCACTGCCCAGCTATGATCGAAAATTTATGCCCAGCACTCACTAGCTCTCTTGGCAGGCACTGTCAATGTTCCTCTAAATGCAAAAAATACTGGAAGGGTAGTGATGGTCATTTTTGGCTGGATGGCAGGCAGAAGAAGAAATGGGCAGTTTGATATAATGCTGCTGGTACTTAACTTTATTAACCATAGTTTTATCAAAATAAAGATCTTCATAGTACAACGGACTTGTGTATTTCTTCCATCTAGTTTTAAGAAAGAAATATTTGAATTATCAAGATTCTCCATCACTGACAGACACTTCTCATATGAGAGCCAAAACACATGCAAGTGATGCCAAGGTTTGTTAATACCAGAGTGATGGGCTTTATTTCCCATTTAACTGATTTAGGAGATTCGTGTCTCATATGTGCTTTACTGATGATTACAGATTTTCATTTGTATCTTCTCATGCTCCTCTGTATTCCTCTATATCATTATTAGCTTAATATCATGTTTTTCTCTATTTTTATGCATATATTTTTTCCAGTTTCTCTGATCACATATTCTTCACCTATGCCATGATAAATCCAAGCCTTGCTATGTCACTACACATCCTTCCCCATTTCTATATTTTTCTCCTTCTATCTTTTCTTCATTTATGTATGCAACTACACACAACAAAGATCCATCCATCCATTTACTTAACTTGGTTCCTATAAGAAAGATTTTGTCTTTCTTAACTAATTTTAAGCTGTTTTAAAATGCAGCACCTAGAAAAAGGTAAATTTATCTCTCCTTTTCCTCCAAGTAGTAGATATCTTAAACCTGGGGCAGAGAAAAAGAAATAAAATGAAAATTCCATTCAGCGGTGAGGAACCTGACCAGCCTAATGGGTAAGTTAGCACAAAATAACAAATTCAGGGAAGGCCCTGTTCTAAAATGGAGTCCTCTCAGACAGTCCTACAATAAGGACATTTGTTTGGTGAGCTTTTGTTTACACTTCATGAGCAGGATAACATCATTTCTTTGATGAAGGTCTTCCTGATGCCATAATATTCAAGGTTACTTTTTTTCCCCTTGTGATACCACCATCTTGTACGTATGTTGAATAACTTTATTACATTATGCTCCAGTGATTTGAGTGGCTTTCTCCATAACTGGACTGTGAATTTCTTCAGGAATGAAACTAGTTTTTTATATTCATCTTCATTCCAGCAACTAAGCCAGTACCCAAGACATGATAAGTATTCATAAATACTGCTTGAGTGAACCACACTAAGTGATCTCTAAATCACACATAGTCTAAGAGATTAATCCACACAGACACTGTAATTTAGGAGTTGTTTCTTGTGACATTCATATTCACAGGCAAAAAAAAAATGAACTGACATATTCAATACTTACGACAACTTTAACATGTTTGGATAGATCTCTAGAACTTCTCTGTAGGAAATCAGAAAAAGCTGCCTATACATCAGAAGGGGAAAAACAAAAAACTTAGTTACATGGTTTTTCCATATCCCACTTTCATATTATAGACAGTTCCCAATGATTCCAAATTATACAAAAATATATAACAAGTTCTCCTTTTGCTGAATCCACAGTAAAGCAGGAAAATGATTATCAAGTTGAAATATTTCTTTTTGTTTTTCAAACTATAATCTCTAGTAAAATTTAAGACTACAGAAAGAGGGTGAAAAACTGGATAATTCCAAGGGTCAGAGTGAAGATGACTTTGGCTGTCCTCCCTGACTGTCCTACTGGTCTGCTAGATGCTAAAATAATCTTTAGCATTGCCACGGAGAATGCCTTGCTTTACCTCTTTTATTTTGACTCCCTCTATGCAGTGGAATAAACTGTACTTTCTTAATTAATATTTTGGATGACTTTTTCCTGAGGAGGAAAAGAAGGGTTTTCCTTTAATTTCATATCTGCTTCCATGAAATTCTTCCCATGTTCTGTCAATTTGTCAGTTTCTCATCCAAACATCAATGTGTACATGTGAAAATGACATTCTAATCTAAGACTCTTTATACATTTTTCAGTCTGTCGATACAGTTTTCCAGCTACCTGTCTGATTTCCCCACTCCTTACATTGGTTTTGATGTTTTCCATATGCCTCCCTGAATATCACCCTCTCTTATACAGCATGAAGCCTTGCATCTTTAAAATTCAGAGTTGATAAATATCAACTCCCTTTCTGACAACAAACTTAAAAACCACACCATTACTTTCATTCTTAAATGAAGACATTAAATAGTAATTATACAGAGACAGATAAAAATGTCTGAGATATGTTATAATTTTAATATAGTTAGTGTCATTGAATTAATATTAAATAATATATAATGATTATAAAATGAAATATGTACTTACCCCTGCATAAAACATTTTATTTCGAAAACGACTATTGAATTTCTCTGGATTTGCCTCTGTGAAAGAGGAGAGGTAGTTTTGTTATAGGCACCTCATTAGAGATTAGCAGTTTTACCCCCAGACCTACCTATAATCTATAGGGCCAAAAGATCCTTGAGCAGTTTTGGGTTTTTTTGTTTGTTTGTTTGTTTTTGTTTTTGTTTTTTTAATCATCTTTCCCTAGGCTTCAGGGAAATACAGTGGCCCAGTGCTACAAAAGTTTAGCTCCAAACTGGCAACATCAGAGCAAATTGGCAGCTTGTTATAAATGCAAATCATTAGTTCCTACCTAAACCTACTAAATTAGAATGTCTGCATGCAGAGACTAGGAATGGTGGTGAGTCTCATGAATATTAAAGCTTGCGACACTCTGGACTCTTCCAAATAGCAGGTTGGCAGGAATTCGGGGCAGAGATGATAGGGAAAGATGATAGGAGGTAAAGAGGTGATTATTTTCATTGACTTCTACAGGACATCGCTTCCATAAACTATATACACAACTTCCAAATGTAATCAAATATGGAGAATTTAGATAAAAATTAATGGAGAGTTTGCTTTTATAAAATTTCTGCACTACTATCTGTTCTTGCTTGTCATAAGCCTTGGAAAATTATTTGTTTTGATGGAGAATACACACACACACACACACACACACAGAGATGGTCTACTAAATGCACTTGGCTTATTACAGCAAAGGCCCTGACTAAAAATGATTTTAATTTGGATTTTGCCTCTGTATGCTATAAAGTTTGAAGACCCCAAAAGATGAAACAAAAATGTGTATCAGAATTTTCATGTGAATTCAAGGGATTATAAAATACCCAAATTAACTATAATTTTCTCAAATGTTTTTCTCCAATAAAGTTTTAAGACATTCTAAAAGAAACTACTATCCACATTCGGCCTTCTACTATTTTATTCCAGACATCCATCATTTCCTTCTTAGTCTAGGTCTTTCTCCCAGTCATTTCTCGATAGGTAGCAGGATGACAAGCTGAAACTAACCGTGTTTGTGAATGCCAATCCCCAGCCATCACCCTGAAGAGTAACAGAGTTCACTCTCCAAGACCAAACAACATGCCTAGGACCTCAAGAAATAATCCTAGACAAATGATTCTTAGATTATTTTTATGATTATTGTATCATCATGGTAGCACATGACACGGAAAACAAGTTGAGAGTTACAAACTTTCATAGATTGGTCCTGGAGAGCTGTCTTCATTGATATACAGTTTCTGTATATCAAAGCTTTTCTATACTCTGTTCTAAGTTCTCTAACCCTAGAAACAAAATGAAATGAAGACTCATTTGTACATTAAACAAAAAGAAGATGAAAATGGCATTAATTGATCTGCATCCTGATTTCCCATGCTTGGCCTGAGAATAAACCATTTTCACATTTTAGGTCTAGTGCAGGTAAATGTGGCTATTGAACAACATGCCATTTTTTATCTATTTTTGAATCAGATTTACCTGGGTACCATTTGCATGTACCTTTACATTAACAGTCTCGCTTTATGAAACCAGAGGTAAAATGAGAAACTTTTTACTGTGCAATTTATCATGACATAGACCCTAATTAAAAAAGAAACAACAACAACAACTCAGGCCCAGCTATTAAGCAAGCTACAGGCAAGGGAAAACAGCAGCCACAATGCTGGCACAGAACTTTTTCAGGGCATTGATGCCCATAGCTATTAAGTGAATCATCTGTCAACTATTAACATTTATTCATTTTATAATTTATGGTTTGAAAATATTTATATTGCAATGAGGTTTTTCCAGAAGCTGAAAAACTGAAAAAAAATATTTCTTTTTAAAGAATAGTTTCTTTTTCCTCTCAAAAGACAGACTATTTCTATCTTTAAGATCTCCCAAAATGATTACAAAATTAAGAACTAAGTGGAGTTTTTGGTGATTTCATGCACACATTTGAGGAAAACAGTCACCTCAGATGTATGTAGTGAAGTCACTAAATAACATGAAATAAGAATTTAAAAATAGAGATCCATCAAGACACCTCACATTCAGAGAGGTGTTAGAAACATAAGGTAAACAGGTAGGAGATTTGCACTTATGCTTTGGGTGTGAGGTTAGAAAAGGTTCAAGGGAATCCTCTTAGTCCCAGGACAAGAAATTTGCATATTATGCTATGACACACACCCTGATGGCCTTGACAGCTGGATTCTTTTCCTATGTCCCCATCTATGCTATTCCAAGAAAAAAAAAAAAAAAACAGATTCACAAACAAGGGGCAGCTGGAGATGTTTTAGCTTAGACCTAGAGCTTGAACACTTCCAGTGGAAGCCAGGTCATAGGAAAGTCAGGAACAGCCTGCAGACAACAATATTCAGCAATTCCCCATTGGCTATTAAAAAGAGCTAGGATGGTTGATTGTCTGTGTGCATTCACAGGAGCTGGTATGCCTTCAGGGAGGACCAAGAGTGAGGACTCCAACTACATCAAGAAACAGAAGGAAGAATGAAGAATTGGGAAAGCGTCAGAGAGAAAGTGTAAGAGCTCTGGTCCTTCAGGAAGTTGTGTCTGCTAGTTGCTTTGAGATAAACATGAAAGGCCACCCTCAAGAAAGGCTAGCAATACTCAAAATATCCCAAGACTCCAACAGTGGGAGGATCCTTGATACACTGCTCCAATTCCTGGGTTGCCCATTCTCCTCCTCTGCAAGAAGTGGTGTCAGACAGCGAGGCCCAAGCACTCACTGGATTCATCCAGATCTTCATTCTGTTCATAGTGTGGCTGAACACCAATGGTAGCTTTATTAATTTTTTTATCCCTGCCACAACAAATCACTATAAACTTGGCAACTTAAAACAACATCCATTAATTTCCTCAAGAGTTCTTCAGGTCAAAATTCTGGACTAGGCTCTCCTGGGTACTCTGTTTAGGGTCTCATAAGACCCAAATCAAGGTGTCATACTGGTGAACCCTTATTGAGGGCCATGGGAAAGATTCACTTCTAAGCTTATTCGGGTTGTTGGCAGAATCCATCTCCTTAGGGTTGCAGGACTGAAGTTCTCTCTCACTGCTGGATGGTGTCCAGGATTAATTCCCACTTCTAGAGGCTTCCTGAATTCCCTGGTTCCTGATCCCTTCCATCATCAAAGTCAGCAATGGAACATCAAGTCTTCACACTCTGAATCATTATGACTTCCCCACTTGCTCTCCTCTTCTGCTTTTAAGAGCTCACGTTTTTAGTTGTGTCCATGCAGATAATCTAGAATTCTCATCCTACCTTAAAGTCACCTGATATATTAACTTGCATCATATCACAAAGTCCTTTTGCCATGTAAGGTCACACAGCTGACAGAGCCAGATGACAACTGGTTGTGGAAGCCAAAATGCTACAATCATTGTCCACTGTCTGCCACATAATCCACATCCCTCTCATATGAAAAATATATTCATTCCCTCCAAGATCTCTAAAGACCTCATCTCATTATAGCATCAACTCAAAATCCGAAAATCTCATCTAAATCTCATTAGCTCAAATTTCCCAAATCTTATTATCTAAATCATCTAAATGATTTAGCTCCGGATATAATCCATTTGTAATGATGATGGGGCTGTGAGTATAATCCATTCAATTGATTCACCGTATTAACAGCATGCTTATATCCAACACAATAGCATGACAGGAGCCATCAGAAGGGGGATCCTAAAACCCTGCTTTTGTCTGTGATTGGCCTTGCAGATATAGCTTTCAATTACTTCCAAATATTTATTTCAGTCCAGTTATCACCCTCTAGGTCTTTGGAGGGCCTGACAAAAGCATATTAGCTCAGTTTACAGAGTTTATTCATTTACTCTTCATAAGCTTTTCTCCCCTTTCTCCTTTAATGGCCCTTGCAAATGAGGCCCATAGACTGTTCTATTTGAGCCAGTATGATGGCCTTCCTAATACCTGTGTCTTCAAGAAAAGAGGAAGTCCAAAATACATGAGTCACCTTGTTCCTGTAGTGCTTTCCTCTTACAAAGACATACGGTGACTGGTGTATAAATAGTCACATCGCAATTGCCTTCCACACATAGATCATTTCTAAATTCCTAGCCACCTTAAATATATAGACATTTTCAAAGATGATTACTGTTGCAAAGCACCTCTAAGGTTGCTTAGCTCACAGCACAATTTCCTATATACTTCTTTCCTCTGTGGAGCTTATAGACAATAGCCCCATCCCTTTGTCCCCCTATAGTTATTTCCCAGGAAAGAATATAGGTAAAGAATTCAGGGGGTTATCCATCTGTCACCATAGATCTCCACCCAGCATCAAGTTACCCAAGAGTCCAAATAATCCAAGCTCATGGAAGGGCTTATGAAACACATATTGGTTTACCTTCTCAGATACTTAAGTAACACACAATTATTATAATTTTAAAGTCAACATTCTGATATTCCAAACTTGTGAACATGCGAAGCCCATTGACCAAAATTTAGGAGTGAAATCTCCCAGGTAACAGACTACTCCATAGAACAGCACATAAAAGTGGAATCATGAAACCATACCCCTGCAGAGGCATGTCAAGATGCTACTCTTTGGCACTACTCATGTAAATTCAGTTCTACCTATATATTATAAAACCCAGTATGTGAAACAAAAGACAAGCAATCCTATGTTCTTCATTTTTGGATAAAAAAAATTCAAATCACATTGAAATATAGAATAAGTAGTCAAAAAGTGATCGTGTATGTTTATTTATATTTCTGAATGTATACAATATAAAACAAAATATGTATTATGTATTTACAGTGACATAAATGCGCCCTTGTAATCTTAGATTTTTTAAAATAAATATAAAATGTATAAGACTTCTGTCATCTGATATAATTCACTGCTTTAAAATGCATAAGGACTAGTTGTTATGGTTTGGATGTGGTATCCTCCAAAAGCTCACATGAAAATAATGTAAGAAGGTTCAGAGAAAAAAATGATTGAGTTATGAGAGTCTTAACCTAATCAGTAAATTGATCACCTGATGGGATTAATTGAGTAGTGAC